TGATGTTTTAACAAATAAAATTGTTTTACTCTTGACATATTGACAAGTGATTTGATATATGGAAAAGGAAAACACACTCAAATCAAACACACTCAAATCAAATCTTTCACTTGGCTATGAGAGAAAATAAAGTTAATGTAAGTTAACATTATAGTATTAATAAGCACATTGGTGATAGAGTATCCAACAAAAATAATCCACTCATAAATTATTGGTAGATGATGGCAATAAAGTTAAGACTATATTCTCATCCTCCATGAAGCATCAAGCTTAAATGTATGCAATTAAAAGTATAATTCTGAAGTCTTATTCACTGCTTTGATTTGTAAGGCTATAGCTTTAGATTGATAGGAAAATCTTTTGCAAAAATATTATGGGCCATGGAATCCTCAAGAAATGTTTGTCCTTTCCATTGTAACCATGTTGTGAACCTACAGAATGTGGTTTATATTATCATGAATAGGACATGGGAGAAATAATGAACATTGATTTTATGAAGCAAAAATCACATTGTAAAATGTTATCAGACAATAGAAAAATAATTTAATATGATAATTCAATAATAATGGAATAATTAAATTAATAAAAATTAATATAATGACTCACATATACAATTATAAAATTTATACTCCCAATAAAAATCAAATTTTGGTTTATACATCTAGTGAAGGTATGGCCTCACAGTAATGTATACCTAAACTATTGCCATTGCCAAGCAGAAGTTTACAACTTTCACCAACTATTAAGCTTTATTTTAGACCAAAATATTGTCATATTCATATTTAGTAAAGTAATATAAAATGACTTTTATTTTTTAATTACAAAGCCCAACCACTAGCAAATGGTACAAGACATATAAAATATTTAATAGAAGATTAAAGATACTAAGATATACTTTCCTGGATAAATGAGTGAGACATAGCCTCTCACTACAATAAACCCAACAGTGTAATATAACCAAATTATTTTATCAGTAGTTTTTCTCACTGAAATAACTTTGTGCTCTCCTATGTGGACTACATAGAAGAAAATGTCACTTATTGGATGGATGAGTTCATCTTCACATTATAAAATCAATCTTCTTATTTTTAAGCCACACTTCATTTATCTGTTGTGAGTTTAACCTCTTTTCCAAGGTATTTTAGACTTTGAATTAATTCAAATTTATTTTAAATTCTGTAAAGCAATTCAGAATATATTCACTGCTCTATAAATAATGCATAGATATAATACTATGATGTTGGGCTATTATGAGTGAAAAATATTTGACACCAATTCTGTTTATATACAATTGAAGAAATATGAGCAATTTTTCATGAGCTTTACAATCTTAATGACAGTTGCCCTATTTGCTAACAGGCATTGTAGCTGGGCTACCCAAAGATCTTCAATCAGACTTTCTCTATACAGATAATTAAGAGGAAAAACAGTGAAATCAACTAACCAATGGATAGTTTTAGTAAAATGGCCAGCTATTCTGACAGTCAATCCAATATTAGATAATGAGTTTGTCTGAATATTTCCCATTTTCAACAAATTATTTGGACACAAAGTACATTTAACAGGGAAAAACACAACAGAACAAATAGACAATGACAGGGGTGAAGCTCTGGAGTTCTGCCAATCCCAGGCACATGGGATAATGAAAAGATTCCTGCTCTAGGAGTTTCAACTATGTGAAAAACCCGAGGTGAAATTTTGTATATTTTAAGCGATTTATTGTTGCCATGACTCCTTCTCCAAAATATTCAAAAATGCCCTGGGAGGAAGTGAATCAGGATTGTTCTTCCTCTTTCTGAATATTGAAAGGTTGATTATATGATAAACATCTTCCCTTTCTTGTTTACCCTTACAAGTATTCTTTAGTCTCAAAGCTTGGTGAGACCAGAGCATCTTTGCCAATCAACAAACACTTGTGTTTACACGTAACTTTGCAAGTATTAAATAACAAGACAAACTATTGCATGATAAATTTATAATTTAGCACCTAAATTTGAATTTGTGATATTAAAATATATTTAATCTTATTTAAGATATACTAAAGGCTGGGAATGGTGGGTCATACCTGGAACTCACAGTGTATTCAGGATGATCAGCAGTTGAGACCATCCTCAGGCAGAGACTACCTGAAAAATAAAGCAAAAAATGCATGCAGGCTGTAGCACACATGTTAGAGGGGTTGCCTTGTAAATACAAGCTCCCCACTTCTCCTCCCCACAGAAAGGAGCCAGAGTTTCTGTAATAGACTGTATGTTTTCTCTCATATGTGATTTCCAAATCTAAAAGAAAAACATGTAAACACACATAAAATCATAAATACACATATATAATTCTTTTGCTTCAAGGAATTTGCTAATATATATATATATATACACATACATATATTGTTTTTTCCTTAAGAAAGAAATAACCATTATTATTTCCAGAGATTAAGAATACGTAGTGAGAAAAGTATGAAGACATTTATCAAAGTTCACTAATAAATAAAACTAGAAGCAGATCATATTATATCATAACACAAGGATCCTCTACAATTTGTTGAACAAATTAAATGAAAAAAATAAGAGGACTTGGTAAATAGTGTCCTATAGTCTCTATGTGTGTGTGCACATATATGTATATATATATATACATGTATATATATATACGTGTGTGTATGTTTGTAAATGTATACACACATATTCTTTTGGTAAGGCAGAAGCATATCTTTGAGGACAAAAGGTAAAAAGGTTAAATTATCTAAGGTAGTTCTCAAGGATGTCTTTTTCTGATACATTATTCAAATCATTGCCTTGAATTTGACAGATTTTTAAGAACTGCTTAGAAGGTCTAACCATTAATCTTCATATTTGCATCAGTATATGTTATTCTTACTGGTATTTATTTAATCAGAGCACTCTCTATACTTCTTAAATTGTTGAAGATTAGATTAATTAATACATGTAAATTTCTTGGTATAGTGTGTGGTATATCATAATTCAAACTACTGAGGATCCACCATTGGCATTACAGAAACAGAATGGTGGATACAACAAAATAAATAGCTAAGCCCTTCAATATCCAGAAACTACTAACAAAGACATAAACATAAATATCTGCATTGTATGGCTGATTTTAGGAAGTACAGTAATAAAGGCACATAATTATCTTTTAGAGGTGAAGCAAATGCAAAAAATTCTTTTTAACCACAATCATTCCAGCACCTATTATTTTGTTTTTTCCCATTATACTCATTCTTTCTAGAGAAACATAATGTATTGTTTTTCCTTTGCATATCCCCTGGGTATTAATGATATTGAACAGTTTTTCTTATACCTGTTAACCATTGATATGCTTATCCTCAAAATAACTCCATTTTAAGGAGAAAAAATAAGGTTGTACATTTATTTCTAATCTGATCATCATGTGTTTAACTCTTTATTTAGTTACCAGTTCCTAGAAGTTTTATTCAATCGTTTGTTTATCATGAAGAGAATCAATGAGAGAAGATCTGTTGGATATAGTAGTATGCCAAAATAAATGAGTTTTACATAAATTTGTGAATAAACAATAGCTTTTGACATAACATTTCATTTCAGAAAACTATTAGATAAAATAAGATAGAAATTGTCCATTTGAGATAAATGGTGTATTTCTTGTCACCTGTCAAGGATGTACCTCTACTCTGAAGAGATAAATTTTCCCTGTTGTGATTTCAGGATCATTAACTTATAGTTTCTATTTCTGCCTCATGGTTTTATTTTTGCTCCAGCTGAACCCCCAAACAACAAAATTTACTCTAGGAAATTCAGTATTGGAAACATTTTATACTGTAGTTTCCATTAATAAACCAGTGTTTACATATCATATCGTTTCTTTCTCTTGCTGTATCATGTTTTTGAAATCATGTAAACTTCATATTCAGGGAATTGCCATTTTTTATAGTTTCTCCAGATATTCCTCATTACTGAGAAATACAAATATTTTTTTGAACCCTTGCTGGAGAAAACAAAACCTGTGTTGCTATCTGAATCATTATGAGCTACCTACTGCACTTGAGCCAAACAGTTGCACAGAAAGTATTTCATATGTTTTTCTCTTCATAAGAAAGGTATGACAAGAATAAGATGTGATTCCATAATTGCAGTTCAAACTTTTCCTCATCCAAATAAGACCTGTTACTGTGGTGAGGAGGTCACAAGTTACAGTTGAGAAGTTTATCAACTGTACACCCTTCCATTCTGGTTAAATTGATACCTGATTTGCACATGCCACTCTGGGTGAGACCAACATGGAAAATCCAAAGTTAAATTTGGTGCAACCTGGTGGCATGGGAGTAGGAGGCAGGAAGATTATGAGTTTGAGGCTATTGTGGGCTATATAACCAGACTCGGTCTTGAAAACCAAATATAAGTTAACTGTGACTCAGTTCTTTGACAAAGTAGTTCTGGTCTAAATTCATCTGTATGCAGGGTGCTCAGGTAATATTTTGTTCTAAAAGGCTCTAAGGCATAGCAAAATACATTATTTTATACAACTTTGCCTTGTAATGAGCATATGCTTTTAAATGAGATAGAGTCAGACTTCAATCCCTGGGTACAAATCTGTGTGACCATGAAAAAATAACTCTCTTCAAAAGAATGATTGTATCCTCAAAAATAGATAGGCAAAAAATTTAATTTGTTCAAATGTAATGTGTTCAAAATTCAGAGATAAGAACTTCCACAGGGTATCAAGTGGCAAGCAACTCTGCCTCATGAATGAGTCTAGTGCCCTTATAAAAAGTGAAGCCAGATGGGCACTGACGGCTCATGCCTATAATCCTAGCTAATCAGGAGGCTGGGATCTGAGGATCATGGTTGGAAATCCTCCATGGCAGGGAAGTCAGAGAGACTCTAATCTCCAATTGACCATCAAAAAACTGGAAGTGAAGCTGTGACTCAAAGTGGTAGAGCCCTAGCTTTGAGAACAAAAGATTAGAGACTGTCAAAGCCCTGATTTCTTTTTTCTTTTTTTTACAGGTAAATAAAGATAGGTATATTATATTTACTACAGCAAACAGTATTATGCCAGGAACTATTGGAAAGTTACATGAACAAGGTAATGAGTGCATTTCCTATCAAGCATTGTTGCCATCTACTTTGTTTTTCCCATACCATCCCTTCCCTCCCACCTCCACAACCATACTCCCCCGCCCCTCACCGCCTGCCTAAATTGTAAAGTTCATTTTTCAACATAGATAGTCTTGCACATCTTATTGTTACAATGGGTCAACCTGTATCCCTATTTAAACATTTTGTTTTTTTTAACTCCACACTGACAAAAATAAGTGAAGCCAGGGTGAACTCTCATCCTTTGACCTATTTGAGGACATAACAAGAGGATAGATATCTATAAGCTAGAAAGGGAGGCCATTCTAGATGCTGAATGTATCTTGATCTAAGCTACTCAGTGTGCAGAAGTATGAGAAATATGTTTCTGTAATTTGCAAACCATCAAGTCTGTACTATTGTTGTTATCCTAGCACTAATAACTATGGGATTCTATGAACTTAAGTTTTCCTATTGAAAATACAGACTCCTTTTGAAGCCAAGTAAATAGTTTTTATTTAAGTATGTAGGGTGGGTTTCACAAAATAAATGATAAAATTCACATTTAGTATTATTGCATGGAATAATATCATTAATATGTGTTCTTCATTTTTCAATTATTCATCAACTGATGATTATGTGAAAAGCATATGACCTGCTCATTGTCCTTGAGAACTCTAGAGTTTGGTTGGGAAAATGAGACCTAGATAAAAAAAATCAACAACCAAATGGGGTATCATAGGCCAAGATCTAAATGACTTAGATTTCCTGGCTGAGGAAAGAAAAACTTGTATAATAAAATTAATATGTCCAAGCAACATGACCTCATTCTCTTGGCATGAATCTGTGTGTGACCACATTATAAAGACTGTCCCCAAGTTTGAGAGATTTAAACAATTACTAAATTATTGACTGCAGCACAACATCTCCATTAAACAGGGAGAATAGAAGTTCCAAGGGCAAATATCCATAAACGGTATACCCAAAGGACAAATTACAAGATCTGCTGTTACCATTCATTCTCTATAGTAGGACCACCTTCTCAACATTTTCTGACATGCTCACAACAAGCATGCAAACAATACTATGCAATTCGTTTGATTAAAACATATTTGCAAAGAATAAGAATAATGGAATTAGTAGGATATGTAATATCTACGATGGAATGGATTTTGGGTTATGCTTATAAATGTCACTGACAGTCTCTGAGCACTTCCTCTGGATGTGGTACAAATGATAAGATGACTACATAATAGAGAGTACAGAGATGAAATGTGTATTCAGATTAATACACTGAATAATTCATTCATGAATCACAAAGGGGGGATTGATAATAGTGCCCAACCTGATTTTCAGTGTCGCACATGGATAATGCTACAATGTTACTTGTTTTCTCAATACATAATGATTGATTTCTAACTCTGTACCCTCTACTGCACTACACCAGGAAATATTTAATGAATAAGATGAGACTGCTGCTCTTGAAGAAGTTACATAAAATAAGTTATTAGAAATGGTGTATGTGGCCAGGCACTAGTGTTTCATGCCTGTTTTCCTAGCTACACAACAGACTGAGATCTGTGCTTCAAGTGGTAGAGCACTAGCCTTAAGCAAAAAAGCTTAAAGACAGTACCCAGCCCTGAGTTCAAGCCCCAGGAGTCGCATATGCATGCAAACATGTACACACACACACACACACACACACACACACAAAATGGTATATGTAGTAGACAATAGAGGCAGGTAGTTACTAAGGAAGTTTATATAATGTACGACTTAACCCAGTTATGAGAATTAGGAAAACCTCAAGGGTACATGCTATCAAAGCCAGGATGCAAAGATGGACTAAGAATTAACCCGGTGACAAGCGTTGAGAGACAAGGAAGTGTGTCCCAAGGACAAAGATGGATTCCAAAACCAGATGTAAGAATGGTATTGTTAATATGAGTATAACTATAAAATAAAATCTCAAATGGACTGGGAAGGTGGCTCAGTGGTAGAGCGCTTGCCTTGCATGCCTGAGGCCCTGGGTTAGATTCCTCAGCACCACATAAGCAAAAAAGAAAAAAGCCGGAAGTGGCACTGTAGCTCAAGTGGTAGAGTGCTAGCCTTGAGCTGAAGAGCTGAAGGACAGCACCCAGGCCGAGTTCAGGCCCCACGACCGGACCAAAAAAATAAAAATAAAATAAAATCTCAGAGTAAGAATAAGCAGACAGGAGAACTGAAAAAGCACAAGGCAGATTAGGAAAAAACTTTAAAAAAAAAAACAAACCACCCTGAAAGCAATGGATAATGTTAAGCAGGCACTTATTCTGAGCAGGTCTCTTCCTGAACAATTACTTTAAAAGATAAATCAGCCAGAGACTCAGGCATCGGTGAAGAGACTGTTGCACTAATTGACATGTTTTCCTGTTCAAAAATAGGTTCACTGCTGATGGACATAAGAGACACACAAAAATTAAGAAATAATATCTACAAGACTTAATGACTCATGAAATTTAGAAAATAAACAAAAATGGGACATCTGCATTTCTGGGATAGTTATAGAAAAGTAACAGATACCTTCAGAGAATTTTGTTACTATATGGATTGAGATAAACATTAAGAAAAGAAGAGTAAGTCGCAAATAACCTAGGGGAAAAGAATGCTGTGAAGATGATGTGAGAAATACCCAGGTGTGCCAGAGGAATTGATATCGTGAATATCATGTTGGATGTCATGGACATCCAAAATAAAATCTGAATGTAGTCCATACTTAAACATACTGCACTGACAGTTTTGAAGAATACTAGTCGGGTCTTTTGTAGAATACTCTTTCATTTTATTTTATTTGAAGCTTTTTTATGAATAAATTGAGGTAATGTTAGTAGTAGTGTATCCCGTTTCAATATATCACAGATAGGTAGGGTGTATCATTCATTTTCAAAGACTCATCTTTCCAGTATTCCTTTACATGCTGTGTAACAGATTATTTAATCCTTTCCTGTGCCTCCAGTACATTAGATTTCTAGTAGTTCCTTCTGTGGAAATGTATTCTATGATTTGAAGATTTTGTTCCATATATGTAAGAAGAGTATGGAGTTGAATGAACTGTAACAATGGCTGCAGTGCCCTTCCTCTCACACATACTTTCTGAAGTTTCTAGAGACTCAAACCTCAAGCACTCATTAAGGTATATGAAGAAAAATGTCACAAGTTACCCAATTTTTCCAGCCTTTATGTAACTCAGATTTTGATGATATTTATCAACTCTCAAAGCACCCTCAGGGAATCTTGTTTACTGGCATCTCATTTTGTGTTTGTTCTAAGAAAGCCAGTATTCTCGGTTCCTCTTTAGCTTTTAGGACAGTTATTGCCGGCTACCACAAAGCCCTTGAAAATTCATGAAAAATTACAAATTTGAATATTTTTTATCTTAATCAGAAAGTGTGAATTACACTTCAATTCTACTTCTGCAAGTAGAGATGTGAATGAGTTTATTTTACTTGGATGTGTGATTGTTTTATTTAAAAATGCATTCTTATTTGACACTAGGTATCTGTCAGTTCTAAATGTACCTCATTATTGTAGTGCTTCTCCAAGTAACATATGGCCCTACTGTTTACTAGTCTATTAAATATTAATATTAATATTGACTATTAAGCATGTCTCCCTATTAGGAACTTAAGTACTACTATAAACTTGATGTGAAATATGTACCTTTGGAATTTACATATTTAAACACTATCTTTTCTTGCACTAATAAAATAGCAGTAAAAGTACGTTGAAACACTGAGGAAAGTGAAATGATTGCTCCTAGATTTGATTTTATTACTCAATATTTTTGATGGTCTGTTTAATAAAGACATAAGTTGTAAGCTGTATTTAAAAAATTTCAGAACACTGAGAAATTGTTAACTGCCAGTGCCCGCTTACATTTTTCCAACTATTTTTAACAACTGAAATTCACATATAGTTAAGAGGATAAACTTTATTTTTAGTATATATAAATATATAGTGAAATATTTACAGCAATCATACTTTATACAAGCCACTATTTTCTTTCTCCTTGGTGGGTGGGAAGAGCACTTAAGATCCAACTTCTTAGCAAATTTCAAGCATGCAGGACACTATTTTTTGAAATATTCCCTGAACCGAATGCCAGATTTGCAGAACAAATTCATATTTCATAACTGAATCTTTGTACCATTGTATCATCCTTTCCCAATTTCAAATATTTGCTAATTTCAGAAATATTGTTTTCACCCTTCAGCTTTATTAATCATATATGTTCAATTACTTTATAAATGTGTGCATGTACATATATATTTTTGTGCATGTATGTGTGTATCTGTTTTCTTGTTGACCTCTCCATTTTTTTTTTTGGTCAATTGTAAGGCTTGAACTCTAAGCTTGGGTGCTGTCCCTGTGCTCTTCAGCTCAAGGTGAGTGCTCTACCACTTGAGCCACAGCCCCACTTCTGGTTTTCTAGTGGTTTATTGCCGACAAGAGTCTCACCGACTTTCCTTCCAGAGCTGGCTGTGAACCGTAATCCTCAGATCTCAGCCTCCTGTGTAGCTAGGATTACAGGTGTGAGCCACTGGTGCCTGGATCTCTCCAATTTTTTAACTCTGGAGTAAAATTATATTCTTGACCTAGAGTTCATGGACTCTGGATGAGACAGAAATTTACATTCTGGCTCGTGCTCTGAACAAATCTTGAACAAAGTGCTATAACTTTCTGATTTAACTTCTTGATCTTTCTGTAAAGTGATCTCATGGGGTTGGTAATAACATGTGCTCATCCTGAAGCATAGTCACTGGTGTATAGCTGATGCTGCATGGATAGTAATAGCTTCAATTACTACTATAATTACATCCATGGAAATATCATTCATGATAAATATTTCATGAAAATTAAGAAAATTATAAAGATTGTGGCAAAGCTACTATATATATATATATATATATATATATATTTCTCTATTTTATTGAAAGGGAACATTTCACCATCTTTCATTTGTAATATAGA